CTAGATTACTTGTAGTTTTTCATGTTGTCTGTCTGTAATTTTTTGTAATGACTTGGTGCTGCCTATCTTGGCCAGGACGCTCTTGAAAAAGAGATTTTAAATCTCAATGAGCCCTTCCTGGTTAAATAAAGGTTAAATAAAAAAATAAAATAAATTGTAAATACAGCTGGGAGCCAGAAATCTTTATGATTGAGAGGGGATCAAATACTTATTTCCCTCATTAAAATGCAAATCAATTTATAAAATTTTTGACATGCGTTTTTCTGGATTTCTTTGTTGTTATTCTGTCTCTCACTGTTCAAATAAACCTACCATTAAAATTATAGACTGATCATTTCTTTGTCAGTGGGCAAACGTACAAAATCAGCAGGGGATCAAATACTTTTTTCCCTCACTGTACACTGAAACGCAAGAAATTGAATTATACCAATAAGACACTTGATGAAATTGAAAACGCAATTGACCAAAATCAATTCTGGGACATGTGGTTCAATTTAAGCATGACAAAGTCACAAGAATTAGCCATACAATATGAAGGAATTTGGAAAAAATATTTTGATAATCTAAACAAAAACATCCCACAAAAAGACGTACAACATAACCAATTAGAAATTCAAGAAAAATTGAACATCCTTGAATTGGTCATACACCTTACACACACTAATTAATAAACACGTCCACCAAAAAAAAGAGGGCAAAATCTTTGCTTGCTTTATTGACTTTAAAAAAGCATTCAATTCTATTTGGCACGAAGGGCTATTCTTCAAAATTCTCCAAAGTGGGCTTGGTGGTAAGGTGTACAACTTAATAAAATGTATGTACACAGAAAACAAGTGTGCAATAAAAATCAAAAACCAAAGAACATAATTATTTTCACAATGTCGAGGTGTGAGACAAGACTGCAGTTTGAGTCCAAACATTTTCAACATTTATATAAATGAATTAGCAGACATGTTGGACCATTCCGCAGCCCCAGGGCTCACTCTATTTGACACAGAGGTAAAATACCTGCTATATGCTGATGATTTGGTTCTTCTATCACCAACCAAATAAGGTTTTCAACAGACCCTTGACATTCTAGAGCAAAATTGCCATAATTGGGCCCTGGCAGTAAATTTCAAAAAAATGAAAATCATGATTTTCCAGAAAAAACCTAGATGTCAGAAAAACTAATATAAATTCACCCTGAACAACACCATAATTTAACACACTAAAAATGACTCATACCTTGGTCTGACGATATCTGCATCTGGAAACTTTAATATGGCAGTGAATGCACTCAGAGAAAAAGCCCGCAGAGCATTGTATGCAATAAAAATGAAATTATTCAAAATCAATATCCCAATTAGAATTTGGACCAAAATATTTGACCGCGTAATCCTACCAATAGCTCTTTACGGAAGTGAAGTTTGGGGGCCACTCATTAAACTGGACTTTAAAATGTGGGACAAACATCCAATTGAAGCCCTACATGCAGAATTCCGTCGGAAAAGAAATACACCAACTAATGCATGTAGGGCCGCTTTCCAGTGGTAGTGAAAGTACAAAAAATATAATAAAATGTTTGCCTACACCTAAATTCAAGTCCAAATTCAAGTCTCCAATTTAAAGCACTTCAAACCCAAGAGCTGATCCCAGAAACGAGCCCTCTCAGTCAGCTGGTGTTGGACCCAACCAACCAAGCTGTCACCAGCACTGCTTCAAAAGAAAGAATAAAAAAAAAAAAATCATGAACCAATCAATGGACTCTTATTTACAACATTGGAAAAACGAAACAAAATCCCAAAGCAGACTAAATTGCTATCGGGCTCTGAACAGAGAATATGAATTGGCTGATTATATCTACTCTGTCAGAGATACGAAGCAGAGACAGATTCTTACCAAGTACAGGCTGAGTGACCACCAATTGGCAGTAGAAACCGGCAGACATAAAAAGACATGGCCACCCAAAGAGGAGCGTGTATGTGGTCACTGCACAACAGGGGAGGTAGAAACAGAGATGCACTTTCTCCTTTAATGAGATAAATATTCCTCACCAAGAGATTCATTATTCACAGAAATTACTACATTTATTCAAAATTTTAACATATTAAACCCAGAAGAAAAACAAAAAATAGTCATGGGCGAAGGAGCCTGAGGGACACTGAATCATAACATCTGCATAGTAAGCAGTAACTTACTTATTATTATTATTGTTATTATTATTGTTATTATTATTATTGTTATTGTTGTGATTATTATTCTAAATTGTAGTGGTACGGGTAGTAGGGGTGATGGTAATGATAGCAGTTTAATGATGGTGGTGGTAGTGTGGTCCTCTGTAGCTCAGCTGGTAGAGCACGGCGCTTGTAACGCCAAGGTAGTGGGTTCGATCCCCGGGACCACCCATACACAAAAATTTATGCACGCATGACTGTAAGTCGCTTTGGATAAAAGTGTCTGCTAAATGGCATATTATTTATTATTTAGTAGTAGTAGTAATGATGACGGTAGTTGTAGT